TTTTTTTGGTACCAGGGATTGATCTCGGGTCCTTGCGCTTGCAAGGCAGGCCACCGAACCGCTGAGCTAAATCCCTAGCCCTGGGTACTGGGATCTGAATGAACACTTGTCTTTTCTTATTCCAGTCTTGGTAAGTTCGCTGGCCCTCTCCCTGGGCATTCTCCTGGCTGTGAGAGATCCCAAGCCAGCTCCACCCACCTTCTGTTTTCTCATCTAAAATCATTTTACCCAGGAATGTGGTAAAGATCGAATGAGAAAACATGTGGATTTAAGTATATATTCAACACAACACGTGCTTTGATTAAAACGAATATTCCGAGTTGGTTGTGGTGGCACGCACCTGTCATTCAGAGCACACTGTGGAAAGCTGAGGCAGGAGGACTGCAAGTTCGATCCCAGCCCAGGCAATTTAGCGACTTAGAGAGACCCTGTCTCAAAATAAAAATTGAAAAAGGAGCAGGAATCGCTTCTCTGCCTTTTGGCTAAGATCAAGTGAAAAAGGAGCTGGGGATGTAGCTTGAAGCAAGGCCCCTAGGTTCAATCCCCAGTACGGCAAAAAAGAAAAAGATTCACCCAGGTGGTGCACACCAATAGTACCAGCACTTGGGAGGCTGAAGCAGAAGGATCATAAGTTCAAAACCAGCCTGAGCTGTTTACAAGTTCACAGCCAGTGTGGATGACACGATGAGACCCCATCTCAAGAAAAAAACAAATAAGTGACTATAAAAGCAAAGGATTTGAGGTCAGAAGAACTTCTGTATGAGGTGGGAAAGAGTGGGGTGGAAGACATGGCCCACAGAGGTGACCGAACTCTGTGCTTGTGTTCTCTTTCAGGGTGGCAGCAGGTGAAGGGGTCCCTGTTCCTGACGGAGGGGTCATGGCTTTCATGTTGCTCCCCCGGCGTCTGGCCTGCAGCTTCTGGCACAGCCACCTCCTGCTTGTGTCTGGTGAGTCCAGGGGAAAGAGGCTTTGGCAAGACCTGGTTCTGTGGAGACAGTCCAGACTAGGGACTCCTGGGCTGGAGAGTTGGGGGTTCCAGGGACCTAGCAGACAGGGTTTCTGGGTGTTACTTCCTGTCCCCCCATTAAATCCATCACCACCCACCCCGTCCCATCCCATCTCTGCCGTTTGCGCCTGCCCACTGCAGGACTGTTCCCCAGCAGGACGGGAGAGATTTAGACAGGAGCTGCTCTTCCTGCTCCGGGGTGATGGCTCCACATCCAGAAGGGCCCAGGTCATGGCGGGTGGCACATAACTAAGGCAAGGCCAAGGAGAAAGAAAACCGTAAAAGTGTGTACGCATGGTCCTGACTTAAAGGGCTGTGACTCAGGACTTTCTGGTTTTATGATGGAGTCAAAGCACTGCACATTCGGTAGAAACTGTACTTTGAATTTCTACCTTTCACATGCTTTGGGGACTAGCATGGTACAGTAGTGTTGTGATGCTAGGCAGGGGCAGCAGCGAACCACACAGTTCCTGGTCAGAAATGGATGGCCTGTTGCCATGGCAACCCCATTATCCAGCCATTAATTTGAATTCAGTGTTTCCAACATTCTGCAGACCCCGTGTGCTGTCAGCTGTGTATGTTAATGGAGAGTAGCTTTCGGCCATCACCTTCAGAACAGGATTCCCTAAATTACAGGAGATAGTCAACACTGGGTCAAAAAGAAAAAAAAAAATCAGCTCTGTGCTAGGAAATGTCACCCAAGTGTAGGCTGATTTAAGTGTCCTGTGTACATTGAATGTAGGCCAGGTCTGTTATAATGGTCTGTAGTGTATTAGCTAGCTTTGCATTTCTACAACAGAATACCTGAGATAGGCCAATTTAAGAAGTAGAGAGAGCTTTGTTTAGCTCACAGCTTTGGAGGTTCAGAGTCCAAGATGGCAGGGGAGGGGCACTGACTTGGCTTCTGTGAGGGTTGTGAATGGCAGTGGTGGGAAAGAGGATCAGAGCAAGTGGCCACACCTCAAACCAGAGGAGGGGGAGAGAGAGGACAGAAAGGGTCTCCTTTTGAGACCCCCTATAGCCTAAAGACCTCCCAGTGCCACCACACTGGAGGCTCAGCCTTTACCACATGGGCCTCTAGGGGGCGCTCATCCACACTTTAGCAGGTAATTTAGGTGGATTAAGTGCACTTTCAACCGCTAATGCTTTCAATCCACAATGGATTTTATGGGACGTGATCCCATCGTAATTCAAGGAGCATCTGTAATTGACCTAAAGGCCAAAGGTACTTCAAAGGCATCAGTCAGGAGGCCATCCCAGCACCCCACCCTCACTCACCTCCCCACCTAACTGGCCACCAGCATCAGCTCCTTCTTGCCTGTGGCCTCTCTCAGATGCATTCCTTTTTCTCTGCCCTTCACAGGGAAGGCAGCCACCCACAGGAGCCTCTCTTTGGACACCCAGAGATTGGCCTCCTATGGAGGCAGAAACAGCCACGGCACTGGCTGATCATGAAGTAGGTCCAGGAAGACCAGGGGGCATCAGTCTCTCCCCAGGGCTCCTTTTGGAGTCCCCTTGTTGTCCATCCTGTCTTCTGAAGACGAGCTACTCCTATGTCCTTGGCCTGTACGTTGCACACTGAGGTTTATATCCTGGATAGGGAAGAGAGAGAAGTGATGGTTTCTGTCATGAGAGCATCGGCAGGCTTTATTTCAGAATAATTGCAACATTTAGAGAAGTGGCAGAAATAGTACTGAGAGGCCTGCATGGTGTCATCCAGGCTCCCCCTGTTGTTAACATTTCATTCAGTTGCCATGCATGTTAGACACAGGCTACTTAGGAGGTGAAGAGCTTTACTTGGCTCACAGTTTTGGACAATGAAAATCCACACCACAGAGTGCAGGCTTTAGCATCAGCCTGGTGGAAGATGGTGGTCAATAGATGACGATGGCAGGAGTTTGGTCTGTGCAAATAGTCACATTGTGAGCTGGGAATCAGGGAGCGCTAGGTGGCTGCTAGGTAGTTTTGAAGTTTTCACTTCCCCCTTTTGTTGGAAAGGAGAGAGAGCTGCATTGAGGAAGAGCTGTTGTGATCAGATATTCATCCCTGTTTCATGCAAGGCCTTGTGGGAATCAGTGTGTACCGTGACCTTTTACTCCCTTCCAATAGAGTAAACTGGCTAGGACTTTCCCTTTTCAAAATCTTTGATGCAAACAGTAGAAGATAAAAGCTGTTTTCTTCATGCTTAAAGAGTGATGTGCTATAATATATCTCAACTGGACTTCATGTTCAAAAGGTCAAGTTGTATGATTAATTCAGAAGCCTTTGATATTCAAAGGAATTGCAGTAAATTAAGAAAATGAATTTAAATGTCTTCTAATACTGTGGCTGATGTATGCATATATTATGTGGCAATCTTTTTTTTTTTGGGGGCTGTACTTGGCCTTGAACCCAGGGCCTCACATATGTTAAACAGATGCTCTGCCACTGAGCCACATTCCCACCCCTTTTTAACCTGTACGAACCTTAATTTCCTCTCTTGGGTAATGGAGCTACATAGGCAGATAGATGTTCTAGGGATAGCACACATATCTATGTATAGAGAGAGCTGGAATGGATTACCCATGCAATTTAGCTGAGGTGTCTCCTGAGTCCCCAGTTGGACACAATTCTAGCAAGAGAGCATCCCTGGTAAGGGGAGCAACACTGTCCAGCTAGCCAGCATGTACAGCGATGCCTCGGTTCTCCAACCCTTTTGTTTGTGAACAATTTGGTCAACATTTTGTTTTTGTTTGCAAACTCTGCATCAGGTGATAAACATGACCATAGTGCTCTTTCCTGCATGAACATGAACATGGCCATCTTTTCCAGAGCCATAGAACAAATTAAGTGCGTGAATTGAAGAACCCATCTAGCAGGAGGGTAAAGAGAAGCTGTGAGGGAGAGGAACTCCCAAGTCCTCCTGATGCACACACTTGGGTCTCCCAGCTGTTCTTCCCTCCAGATGAGCTATGCAGTCTTGAGGCCCCTGTCTGTGTTCAGCCACACACTGATCTCAGGCTTCTAGTGGGATTAGCCCAGGAGTTTATACACCCTCCCTAAGTTTATCACTGCAGGCAGTGTGAAGAGTTTCCAACAAATGACTTGCAACCAGAACTATAGTTTAAAACAAAACAAAACAAAACTCTACTAAGTAGGGACTGCCTTGATTTAGAAATTTGATTATGCCCTCTCGGGTGTGGTTTGTTTTTTGTTTCTAAGATGGGGGTCTCACTCAGTTGCCTAAGCCATCCTCAAACTTGCACTCCTATTCTCCTGCCTCAGTCTTCTCAGAAACCAGGATTATAAGCATGTATCACCACCTTTTTTCTCCTGTGTGTGCTAGATTATTAAAAAGCAACCCTCGGTCAGCCCAAAGAGCTCCCTGTTCCCTCACTGACCCCATGTCATTTTGGCACTTAAAGATACCTTTTTCATTTCAGAGTGCTTATAACAGGAAACATTAGAGTATTGTGGTAAACAGCTGCAACCCCACAACTTTGGGAGGCTGAGGTGGGAGAACCAAAAGTTGGAGCCAGCCTGGGCAACTTAGTGGCTTATCGAGACCTTGAATCAAAATATTGAAGGGGTAGCTCAGTGCAAAGGCCCTTGGTTTGATCCCCAGTACTGCAAAAAACAAAATTACAAGAAATATTATTTTATAAATCAGGGGTTCTCAAACTTCATTTTACTTTGGATTCATGGGGTTTTTTCTTTTGGTTTTGAGGCAGCATCTCACTATGTTGCTCAGCTTGATCTTGAACTCCTGGCCTACAAGTGAGCTTCCTGCCTTGGCCTCCCGAGGAGCTAGGGTTAGAGGACTGGCTTTCCTCCTAGGTGATTTGAATTGTCACAGGTGAGATTATAGCTGGGGACAGGTACACAGAGTCCAAAGATGCTGTTACACATACTACACTGCACAGGACGACAAAGGGTTATCCAGTCCAAAATGTCAATAGTGTCATGATTGAGAAACTCTAAGCTACACATACATTTAGACTACATTTAGACTGAATAGTTATAAAATTTGGATAATTTTTATAATTTGATCTTTTACATGCTAATACAATAGACATCTTCCCATCTCCATAAATATTCAAAATTTCTATCTCAAAACAATGAGTACATAATACCTCAGGAAATGGTTGGCTGTGTCATGCTTTGCTTAGCTACTCTCCAGCATTGGACAGGTAGGTTGTTTCTCTTTGTTGTTATGGTCAATACTATGCTGGATATTTTTTACCTACATCTTTGTGTATTGGTGTTGAGGTATTGATCAGACCCTCAGCTACCTGGGGGAGGGCAGCCAATGAGGAATAAAAGAAAGAAACAAAACCAATGTTCAAGATATAAAGGGGGGGACTGTGAGGAAACTTGCCTCTAGCAGACAGACACAAATAAACTCTGCAGTTGTCCCACTTTTATTAACCAGTGAGAAGCTGGGGGGTGGAGCATGCAGTTCATGGAATAGCAACTATAGAAAATGGGTGGATAAGGATTAAATTAATGAGGAATGAGATTTTCTCTACACCCAAATATATTGACAGTTGTCCTCAGCAGATGCTGTCTTGCCTCAGGAGTGCCACGTTATGGGAATTCTGCCCATAGCCAGGGGAAAGGCAGCCTTCCTCATACTCCCCTGTTCTGAGGCAAGACAACACTGACCTCAAGACTGTGATCTCTGAGTTGCATAGCCTAGTCCTCAATATGTTGGTCTCATTATTTTCTTAAGATGAATTCTTAAAAATGAAAATGCTTAGTTGGAAGGACTGGGAGGTCAGCACTGGCTTAGCTTCACTGCCCTGCAACAGGAGCAGGCCCGTTTGTCTGTACCTTCATAGTAGTAGCTTTTCTTATTTTGCAAATCTGCATTGTTCATGTAGCACCCAGATCTGTCCAGACACGGGGCTCTGGGGCCACCTGGCCAGAACAAGGCTGAGGTCCTGCACTCCCTCTGTTAGGGACTTTGGGTACCTGTCAGGGTGGTGCTCATTGTGCCTGTTCCGCCGCTCCTTATGGTCTTCGTTTACTGCAGGAGCCAGACACATCAGTCAAGCTGCAGCCAAAGTTGATGTTGAGTTTGACTATGATGGGCCCCTGATGAAGACAGAAGTCCCAGGTCCTAGGTCTCTGGTGAGTCAAGCTCAACTGAGCAGTTTGTTTCTTAAAGAAGAGATAAGGACCCTGGAGGCCAGAGCACAGCTGAGCTTGGGGACTGGTATTGTGAACTGCTTTCTGGGGTTCGCTACTAGAGATGAGGTATTACACCCAAGTAGGCCATTCTGCAAAGAGGGAGAGAAGGCTTCAAGAGATGTGTCCTTACCTGTTGTCACAATAATGCTGCGTTGCAAAGCCTCCCAGCACACATCCTCCCAGCACACGGCCTCCCGCTTGCCTCGAATCACTGCAGTGACCCAGCTCTGCTCCACTGTCTCCTGCCCTCCAGCAGGCAGCACTGGCTCATTCTCATCCTGGCACAGGTCACTGAAGGCCTGGACTCCACACTGGCTCCCAGCAGCTCCACCTCACTCTTGCAGCCAGCGCAAGTCCACAACCAGGGGCTGGGGCAGGACACTGTAATACAGGACCAGGGTGTCAAAGGCCTTCACCTTGATCTTGAGGATAAGGAGATGAGTCTCAGGAAAGAGGGCATTTGTTCCAGGCAATAGGCTAGTGTAAACCTTTTTAATGCAAATTTTGTTTCATTTTGGTTTTTGCAGATTTCTTTTCTGGTCCTGGGCATCAAACTCAGGGGTGCTTACCGCTGAACTCCATCCTCAGCCCTGTTTTATTTCTAAGAGGCCCAGGCTGGCCCTGAAATTGTGATCCTCCTGTCTCAGTCTCCTGAGTAGCTGGGATTACAAGTGTGCACCACCAGATCTGTTTTCATTTTGCAGATTTTATCCATTGTCTTTTTTTTTTCTGTCAAAAGATGCTTCTTTTGTCATTGCAGCCAGTTTATAAATTCAGTAATCTTCATACTAATGTAAATGATGAACTGTTTTCGATAATATTTTTCTAACAAAGACATTTCTATGTAAGGATAAATCACAGTTTAACAGTAGTCAAACATTGGAATGACTTTTAATATCCTTGTCATTAATATCACTTTATATTTTTTGTATGGAAATATATAATCTTATGACATTAATTGCTAAAGTTTATTTTATGTTGAGTTATTTTTGGAGCTGAACTCTTTGTCATATCAAAACAAAGAGTGCCTAATTCTCACTTTTTGTAGAGAATTGCAGTTTATAGAATGTTTGGATTGTAATTATAAATGGCTCTTTGATATGCAAATTATTTCAGTTGATTAGATTTTCTATTATTTTGTGGGGGGTACCAAGGATCAAACTTGGGACCTTGTGCTTATGAGGCAGGCACGATGCTGCTGAGCGAAATCCTCAGCCCCATGATTGTATTATTAATGAGGAATGAAAGCTTTTTTTGAGTAGGGTCTGGCTGTACAGTCCAGGCTGGCCTTGAACTCACTATGTAGCTCAGGCTTGATTCAGACTTGTGGTGATCTTTCTGCCTCAGCCTCCTGAGTTCTGGGATTACAGGTGTGTGCTACCATCTATAGCTAAAGCCCCCCCCCTTTTTGGTACTGGGGATCGAACTCAAGACCTTGGGCTCATGAGGCAATTGGTGGAACCATTGAACTAAATTCCCTGCCCAAGACCCTTTCTTTAAAATAGAAAGTGAGCCCATATTTTTAATAGGCACTACATAAAAACTTTCAGCTTAATTTCTTTTATTAAATATGTAGTTTATTTTATCTTTCAGGTATCTAAATCTTTAGTATGTCTGTTATAATTTAACTGCATGATGAAATACTTTCCTGCCAACTATTTACATTAAGTAATTTATAATATTGTTGACTAATAAGCTATGAAGGTATTAGCAAGAGAGGAAAAAACGTTCAAAGAGTTGGAGAAGCATGGGAGACCTCCAAGCTGATTGGGCCAGAGTGTGTGATAGTCCTAATGCTTTTGTTCTTCTCACCTGCAGGAATTAATGAAACAGCTGAATATGATTCAGGTGAGTGGAATGAGAACATTTCTTTTGTTGCTTCTTTATTACATTTTAGCTGAGGGACATTTTATTACATTTTAGTTGTGCTGGCCTTTTTTAAAAAAATGAAGTTTGACTTTGTTTGAAATCTCTTTTCTAGCTTCTCCTGTGATTTCTTCTTTGATCTATCACTATCTATTTGTTTAATTTCCACAGCTTTGTGAATATCCTGAGTTTCTTTCTGTTATTGCTTCTAGTTTTATTTCTTTGTGACTGGAAAACATTTTGTGTGATTTCCGTCCTTTCAATTGAGCCCTGTTTATGACCTGCCGTCTGGTCCATCCTGAGAACATTCCATCTGCACTTGAGAAGAATGGCATGTTCTGCTGTTGTTGGGTGGAGTATTCTGCAGATGCTTGTCAGATAGTTGCATCTGGAGTGCTGCTCAAGGCTTCCATTTCCTCACTAATCTCTTGCTTAGTTGTCCTATCCATTATTGAATGTCAGTATTGAAGTCACAAACTATTAAAGTAGAACTTTTTTCCCCTTCCATTTTCTCCCTTCCATTCCATTCTTGCTTTGTGTATTTTGGAGCTCTGTCATTAGTTGGAAATATGTTTATAATTATTATATCTTCTTAGTAGTTTACGCTTTGTCATTACAAGATGTTTCTTTTTAGTTTTTTGTTTTGTTTTGTTTTGTTTGTTTTTTAGTCTATTCTGATACTAATATAAACCCCTCTAGCTTTCCAATGGTTGCTGTATGTATCAAATATCTTTTTCTATCCTCTTCCTTTCTTTTATCTCCCAATCTCAGGCCAGTCTCAAAGATGCAGGCTCCTGCTTCAGCCTCCCAGAGTGCTGGCATTACAAGTGGCCATTACTGCATTGGCTTTTTTCCATCTGTTTACTTTCAACCTATTTGTATCTTGTATCTAAAGTGGTGTGTCTTCTGTAAATACCATGCTGTTGGTTCTTTTTATTCAATCTAATAATGTCTGGCTTTGTATTGGATTGTTTAGTTGGTCCACAGTTAATGTTATTATTGATATGATTGAATTTATGTTTGGAGTTTTATTTTTTTATTCTTCCTGTCTTGTATCTTTTTTGTTCTTCTGTTTTGGCTTTTGTTTGTTTAGGTTTGTGTGCATTAAATGAATACTTTCTAGTGCAGAATCTTCATTTCTTTAATAATTACTATTTGTTTCTAGTTTTCTTAGCATCTGCTCAAAGACTTACTACATATATCTTAACTTACCAGAATCTACTTAAACTTATATCCTAAGCCATGCAATATATGAAGCATATACAGAAAAATCTACAAAATACAAAATTCACAGTTTAGCGAACTGTTATATAGTAAGCCACTCATGGAGTTAGTCCCAGAGCCAGAACTGTCATGTTTCTAGAACCCACAGTGACCCCCATGGGTCCACAGTGAGGGCAGGGCATGGTTTACTCTACCAACTAGAGCTTATCCCTAAGGGACAGAGAAGCCAGGGAGTTTCAGTGAACCTGAGTCCGTCTCTCTTTCCCCAAGAATGCAGAGGCTGTACATTTTTTCTGCAACTATGAAGAGAGCCGAGGCAACTACCTGGTCGATGCGGATGGTAACCGCATGCTGGATCTTTACTCCCAGATCGCCTCTATCCCCATTGGTAAGAGCTGCAAAGCTGGTTCTGGAATCAATCTCTGTCTGTCTGTCTGTCTCTCTCTCTCTCTGTGTCAGGCCTCAGAAACCCCTCAAAATACAACACTCCTGTATGTTGCCAGACACCTGCCTCAAGGTCACAAGAAAGAGTAGTGTGGTGTAGAGCAGGGGTCCCCAAGCCCTGGGCCCTGTACCACACAGCAAGAGGTGAGCGAAGCTCTGTCTGCGTTCACAGCCTCTCCACATCACTGACATTACTGCCTGAGTCCACGCCTGTCGGATCAGCAGTGGCTTAGATTCTCATAGGAGCGTGAACCGGCTGTACACTGCACATGCAAGGGGTCTTGCCTATGTGCTCCTTATGAGAACTGAAGCTAAAACTGTCCACCACCATCACCTCCCCCATCCCTGGAAAAACTATCTTCTATAAAACTGGTCCCTGGTGCCAAAAAGGCTAGGGACCATGAGTGTAGAGTGTATTATTAGGCATGTGACATGACTTCTGTCATTCACCCCTCCCCAAAACCTTACGGGGTGGGTACATATTCGTATCCCTATTTTGCAGGTAGGTAGAGAAAGCCTGGAGAGGTTTAAATCGTATACAGGGATTCCCAGCTCATTTTGAACTCAGTTCTGTGTGACCGTGGTGTCCACAATGTAGGGTCTGAAGCTGGGTTTCCAGAAGAGCCTGAGGCTAGGATTCTTGTCCAAGTTGTCTATTGGAGAAGAACCCTCAGGAGAAAGGAGGACAGAGAAAGAGCAGGGTGAAAAGCACAGAGTGAGGGCTCTGTGGGGCCTGTCCCAGCTTGATTCCATGGAGGACTCTGGAGAACAGAACTGTGCCAAGGGCCTTAGCACCCCTGTGCCAGCGCACCCCTGCCCATCCACGCCAGGCAGGCAAAGTGGCTTCCATGCAGCAAGGGCAGTTTTCTGGAAGAGGAGGCAGCTGGCCAACACACACAGCAGCTGGGAGATGGGTGACCCGGCCAGGAGAAGCCTCCTCAGTGGCGATGCCAACAGCATCCCAGGCTCTGTCCCGGCCTTACAGAGCGATGCAGATGACAGGATAGACAGGGCTAGTTTAGAAATGTGGGAGCTGTTGTTTGACGCTTGGATGGTTAATGTTCCTCCGGTTGATGGACTCCCAGCTGTGTTCACTGGCTTCGGGCTGTGTGTGACGAAGCGGGTCCTTCTGCAGACGCCGTTGGCTGTGTGCTGCAGAGGAGATGTGTTGCTCCCCGTCGGCTACAACCCCCCTGCCCTCTCAGCAGTGTGGGCCAGTTCCCCCATGGCCCACCTCAGGGCCCCCCTTCTCTGACTCCCAGGCTATTTCCTCAAACCTATTTATTCCCCACTAAGACGTGATGGGAGACTAAGCAGATGACTCATAAGCGAGGGAGGCCCATCGTTCAGTGATGCCTCGGTCTTTGCAGGCACTTTAGAATCAAAGACTTAGAAAACCTCACCTCCCTTTCATGATGGAGTGGAAGGGGTGGACTCTGAAATTGTCCTGGGTTCAAATCCCGGCCCCATCTCGAGTTGTGGCACTGGGGCCATGCCCAGATCTCCCTCAGTTCCAACCTCAGCATCACATGGATAGAGGAGAGAGGATCAGACCTAAAAGTCTTCTTCCAAGCTACTCCCCGCCCCCCCCACCTGTGATTTGGGGAATGTTTAGGTTTTTTGGTTTTGGATTTTGGGTTTTTGGAGGTGGGGTGGGTAATGGGCACTGAACCCACAGCCTCACGCTGTGCTATATCCTCAGCCCTTTTTCTTTTATGCACTTATTTTTTGAGATGGGGTCTTGGTGTTCAGTTGCCCAGGCTGCCCTGAAACTTGTAGTCCTCCTGCCTCGGTTTCCCGAGCCGCTGGGATGACGTGTGTGTGCCCGGCTTGGATTGACTGTCTTAGGCTGATCGTCAGAGAGCTTCCTGTAAGCCTGGCATGGCGCTCAATGTCTTGATGGTACCTGGCTCAATGACCACACAGCCCTGTGTCGCTGTCTCCGCGTCCCCTCTGTCTGTGTCACCGCCAGGCTTCAGCAGGTAGGGGCTTTGCCCGCTGGGCACAGAGAGCCCAGGAACATGAGCCATGACTCTGTCCCCTCAGCTCCTGCTCTGGGGCAGCCTCCTGAATGCCTGCCCTGCAGTGGAGGGGGAAGGGGCTCCTGCAGCGTGAAAGCCCGTGGTAGGATTTCCTTCATCAGAGCGACCGGCTGTACTCTCAGCTCTTTCTCCTCCAGGAGCCACTAAGACAAGCCCGGAGTGTGGCTTGATGAGATTTACTTTATCTGCTGAGGTAGAAAAGCCATAAACGCCCAGGCAGGGTAATAAGGAGACGGACACAAAGACCTCTGGCCAAAAACAGTTGGGAAAACCTAGAGAGTATCGGTCCTTGAGTTGTAAGCAAAGCTTGGCAAAGAAAGGGTAGGGAAGGGGCTGGAGGAAACCAACTCTCTTCCCACGGCCCCTCCAACTCCCCCAGCCCACCCTCTGCAGCACAGCGAACCCTCCAAGCTTTTCCAGTCTTTTTCACTCTTTTGGATTCTACTTTGGAGAAAGTCTCCTCTGGTGATGCTGGGTCTTAACCCAGTCTTTGATTGTGGCAGAGAACAGGCCCCAGGCTCAGAACCTTGGACAGGTGACAGGGAACTACAGTGATACAGAGTCTGCTTTCAATCAACGCGCATTTCGATTAGAGAGTGGGCTAGAATTAGAACAGGGCTAGAGCAAATAGGTACAAGGCATCTGTCCTGGTCCTCTGAGATTGCTATGACAAAATGCCATAGACTGGTACCTTTTAAATAATGAAAATCTATTTGCCACAAGCTTGAAAACTGGCAAGCCCAAGGTCAAGGCACCAGCAGAGCCGGTATCTGGCAAGGGCTGGCTCTCTGGTTCATAGATGATGCCTCCTCTTTGTGCCCTAATACGTGGCAGGCTGCAGAAGCTCCCTCGGGCCCTGGTAAGAACACTGTTCCTTCTGGAAGGCTCCATCCTCCCGACCTAATCACCTCCCAAAGGCCGCACCTCCTCGTACCATCACCCTGGGGTCTAGGATGTCCGCATAAGGGTGTAGGGGGCTACAGATATTCAGACCATAACAGAATGTGTGATAAAAATTGTGATGCTGTCAGACAGGAGTGGTCCTTTTCCAAAGTCTACTTGCTCCCATGTGATAGTTCTGAGTTCTTGCCCTCCTCGCTGGATCTCTACCTCATTCATTCCACTGAGATGCATTAAGATGAACACCTGGGGGGCCTTACGATCTCACCCGCAGACCTCGGCGACTCCATCCTCCTACAAATTTAGCCTTCTGGCGGGGCTACTGCAAAGATTCTAGATAAGGGACAGAAACCACTTGCATCTCATAGATGCTCAGTAGATGGGTGCTGAGGATGGGCCGGGCGTGGTGGTTCACGCCTGTAATCCCAGCACTCGGGAGGCTGAGGCAGGAGGATCACTGTGAGTTCAAGACCAGTCTGGGCTACACAGTGAGTTCCAGGTCAGTCTCAACTACATAGTGAGACCCTGTCTCAAAAAAACAGAAAATGAGGGAGGATGGAGCTGGAGCTGCACACACGGTGGCCACACTGTCCTGGGCCCAAAGCCTGTTTCTGAGCTAAGGGATCAGGCCCGTTCCTTAGCCTCTCTACGTCTCCACATTGGCATCAGCCCCACTGAGCTAATGGCATCTGCCTCTGGGTGCCGAAATGTCATGTGAAACGAAGCACATTAAGTATCTGACACCGAGCCGGGCACACAGAGCTCAATAAATAGCGATTATAATCTCATTGGTTATATATGTTTTGTTTCTCTTCGTTTATGTTCCGGAAGCTTATGTACGTAAAGACAGCGTTTCTGAGAATGTCTGTCGAGGTGACTGAGCCAGATGAAGTTGTCTTTCATGTCATTCTCTCAACAAGCACAGCATCTGGCCTTGAAGAAGCACCATTCCGAGGGAGGAGGCAGACAGGTCAGGTCGCAGTGCCAGGCAGGACATCTTAATTTGGGTTTTGGGTCATTCGGTATGAGGGTATAGAAATACAATTGATTTTTGTGCACTGATTTTGCATCCTGCCCACTTGCTGACCTCCTTTGTTAGCATTAATCATTTCTTAGTGGAGTCCTTAGGATTTTCTATATGTGAGATCTGCACATAGAGATACTTTTGCTTCTTCCTTTCCAATCTAAATACTTTGTATTTCTCTTTCTTATCTATTTTGCTGACCAGAACCTCTAATGTGATGGTGAACAGAAGGAAGGGAGGATGTCCTTGCTTTGTTCTTCATCTTGGGGAGAAAGCGTTGGTCTTTCACCAGTTGAGTACAGTGTTTGTTGTAAGTTTTACAGCAGGCTGAGAAAGCACTTTTCAATTCCTAGTTTACTGAGTGTTTATCGTGAAACCACATTAGGTTTTGTCAAATGCCTTTTCTGCGTCTGATGAGATGATCACCTGATTTTTTTATTCTATCGCTATGATGTGCTACACTCAGGCTTCACAGGGAAGAGAAAGTAGGGGAGGGAGGGAGGCTGCAGATCTTGGTGAAGGGCTTCCCTGAGGTGGAGGCCTCCTTGGGGCACTGTAGCCAAAGAAAAATCTAGATACACAGAGAGGCAAAGAAAGGGCACTCGAGGCAGGTGATTTGCTAAAAGTTAAGCATGCCAACAGGTGTGATCGTGGAGCCCAAAGCGGCCACCTGAATGAAGGAAGTGGTCAGATCAGGGAGGTCCAGCTGCCCCTTTTCTTGTCCTATTTGACCTGCTCGGTGCCCAAAATAGGCACCAAAGTCCCATGGCTGTCAGGTCTGTGCCTGGGCACCTCACTCCTCCTCCCTCTGTGTAGAACCGCCATTCCATTCCGATGCAGCTCTGGGAAGAGTTCAGCAAGACCTAGTGGCCTCCAGAGACACCGTGATCCTGAGGCTCCCTGAGACTCCCTCCTGCTGGGCCTCTTGGCACAGGCCTTGGGTTCCTGCAAAGCATTCAGCAGCCTGCAAGGCAGCTTTCCAAGACACAGAAGAGCTCCTAGGGAACCTACCATGCAATAGGATCTTAGAGAACATCTTCAAAAGGGCCCAAAACATTAAAATCATCTTGTCTGAATCTAACATGACCACAGAGTAAGCCTTATGGATTAAGGTTTTTTATTATTATTATTACTCTGTTTTTAAGCTAGGTGTGGTGGCACCTTCCTTGTAATCATGGCATGCTAGGAAGCTGCGACAGGAGAACCTCAAGTTCTGGGCAACGTGGAGAGACCTTGTCTCAAAATAAAAGACCATAAAGGGCTGGAGGTATAACAGTGATAAAGTTGCATCCGGTTTCAGTCCCCCATATGTAAAAAATTGTTTTAAAATTATAATTAACTGGGGTAGCGTTTTTCTCAAGCCCAATCCCCCCCAATTCCTCTCCCAAAAGCAACTGTTGTTTTCTCATAGCAAGATAGTCAGTGCATACATAAGCACCTCTGTACCCCATCTCTTTCCTTTTCCACATAGCAGTAGATTCCAGAGATCATTCTGCTTGGCACAGAGGACAGATCTCTCATCCTTTTCCGCAGCTGCAGAGTCACATTAGAAGGCGTGCGTCATAGGGATGCATCATGGTTTATTTCCCTGATCTGCTATTGATGGCCGCTAGGTTGCTTTCAAGTCTAGACTGTCGGCGGTCACAGCTAAGTCTTTAGATGCATCTGTGGGATAAATTCGCAGAAGAACAATTGCCGGATCAAGGCAGATGCTGAGCCTTGTCACGTGACGCCAGCCCTGTCTGGACGATAAATGCCGTGGGACCCTGGGAATAAGCCCAGGATGAGGAATGCTGGTGACAGATGCAGGTGGCATCGCACAGTCCCCGGACAAACAGCAAACATTCACTGGGCTCCGGGGGCCTCAGTCCATGGGCCCTGGCAGGGAGCAGGAGGGATCCACAGATTGTCTCACTGGCCTTGTGTAGAAATGTGCTGCGACCTCACCTTCACCTCTTGTTTGTCCAGTCCAGCGGGGCTAAACCCAAACAAATACCAGATCCCGTAAGGCACTGGTTGTAGATTTCAGGGCTGTGGGACGAGAGTCTAAGACAAGGTCAGGACCCCGGGAATATCTGTCTGTCTGCAGAGGATGAAAGACCTGTGGCATGTGAAGAGAATTTTACAGTTGGGAGGGGAGGAAAAGGAATGTGATGCTCCGTGTAACACACCCTCCTCTCCCCAGGTTACAGCCATCCTGCCCTGGCAAAACTGGTCCAGCAGCCTCAGAATGTGGTACGTCTCCCGTTACATAAAGACCAAATGTTTCTCACCACTCACCGGGCAGCTGTTTGAAACAGTCCATTCGTTCATTCACCCTTCCACAAAAGGTATCGAGCTCACACTGTGCTCTAGGCACTCAGAGTGCCTTAGGGACCAAAGGCACGGAGTCCTGTTCCCGAAGGGGCAGTTGGCCAACAACATACATAAGCCAAGGGTTGCGACCGGACGGAGTGCCGCGGAACACGGCCTGCAGTTGTATAGTTGTAAAGTCGTGATAATAATGAGTAATGCTGATGGAGGAAAAAATTTGCACTAAACACCATGTTCAGCTCTTTGCAGCTGTAACAGTGACGTATCTGAGAAGCAGGTACAGTTGTTATCCTCATTTCACGCCTGAGGAAACTGAAGAACAGAGAGGTTAAGTATTTGCCCAAGTCACACAGACAGTGGAGATGCTGGGAAAAAACCCACAAACGAGCTTCCAAATTGGTAGACCACACCTTCCACTGGCGGGTGCCTCTCCTGTTCTCTGTGGCCACATACATGGAATCACACAGTGTGCACTCTGTCTTACCTGGTGTATTTCATGTCTGAAGCCAGGAGCAGTGGTGCACACCTGTTCTGCCAGCTGCTCAGAGGGCCGAGGCAGGAAGATCACAAATTCGTGGCCAGTCCAAGTAACTTAGCAACTTAGCAAGCCCCTTTTCAAAATAAAATGACAAAGGCAGTGATGGGGCTGGGGATTTCGCTCAGGGGCGTTGCTGTCTGCCTTGCAAGCGCACAGTCCTGAGTTCAATCCCCGGTACTGCAAAAGAAAAAAAAATATGGCAATGATGTAATTCCAGCACTTGGCAGCACGCACAGGCCTCGGGTTCGATCCCCACCCCTGCAAAGGAAAACAATGACCAAAACAAGTCACATCTGTGTGATTCATCCTCAGAGTCACATGTGGCCACTGTCTAGTGGCTTTCTAGAGTCCCGTTGTGTGAATGCACTGTGATCAGTGTGTCCATCCTGCTGCTGAGGGGCACATGGGTGGTTTCCAGTTTGGGGCTCTTACAAAGATGGCTGCCATGAGTCTGTGTCACGCTGAGCACATCAGTGAGTGTTGGACACAGAGCTAAGAGTAGACCCCTGGCCTTGGCACATGTCTGTGTTGGGTTTCAGCAAAGCCCGCCAATTCCTCAGGCTGACCCTGATTTCCACTCCCGCTAGCAGTGCGGGGACAGGAGGGGGCTCAAGTTGCTCCAAATCCTCACCGACACAGGGTGTCATCGGAGGGCTTTCGATGGACTTAGAGAGGGACATCCTGGTCCACACATGACATGGAGCTCAATAGCCAAACACAGATCTAAGGAAGGCACAGGGGACTGAGCACCCAGTCCTGGTGAGGAACCGAGTCCGCAGTCTCAAAACACTCTTCCCGTTTAATGGACAGAATTGAAGATCACTGGAAACAACCACCCTTCCTCCTTACGGAAGAGGGTGCTCTTCCTAGGGGGGCTGGGGGACCTTCTTGCCAGGTCCAGGGCCTGCTGTAGAGGAAACTGGGGGTCTCTGGGAGGTTTTTTGTTTTTTGTTTTTTTTGATATTTTTTTTCCTTTTATATTGAGGTTATTGGTACAATCTAGGTATGCAATACAGTTACATTCATCTTTGGGATTCTGTACCTCTACATAATAGGTCTTGATTCTCATTTTTTCCCCTTGTCCCTGCCCTCCCTTCACCCCCTCCTCCCCTCCCCATTTACAAACACTTTTTTTCCATTTTTTCAGTTTCTCATATTTTTTTTCCTCTCCCTTATTACCTTTCCCCCACCCTTGGGAGGGGTTTGATGAAGGCTTTTCCCACAGAGGCTCCACGGATGTTTACATTCGAAGCCCGGCTCTGTTCCGAAACAGCATAGGAATCCCAGATGCCTTGGCAGTTGGTACTGAAAAAAACATGTCAACAAACATGTCAAACACATTTGCAATGTCAGCTGCCTGCAGAGGCAGAATCCTCCCAAGGACACGTGACGTCAAGGACCGGGGATTCTGGTTTGGGGCAGGCACCCCTCGGCCCTGCCCCTCCCCTCCCCCACTCACATTCCCGGCACCTCCCTCCTGCAGCCCTCACATTTCCTGCCTCACCCCCTCCCAGCCCAGCAGTCCCGGGGCCTCCCCACAGTGCATGGAACCCACCTTTAGGAAGGTCCTCCATACCCAAAGCAAAGCCCTTACTGATCTGGCTCCTGCTTTCTTCTTCAGCCTTTTGTTTGTTTTTTTTACTGGGGATGGGACCTAGGACCTCCCCCATGCTAGGTGAGCGCTGTCCCAGAGCCGCGTGCCAGCCCAGCCTCATTTCTTGACCTGTGCTCTGTTACCAGTCATCATAGCGGCTGTTGTACTCACCCATCCGTTTCCTGCCAGCTCCCCAAGTCCGGAGAAGGAACCTGTCACAGCACCACTGTGACGCTCCACTGTGATGACTTCATGTGACTGCACGAACCATTATCCCCTGAATCTAATACCTGGGTTCCAGTTATGATTTCCTCTGTTACCAGGGCCATGTTGCAGTCCATGACAGCTGCACCTGGAATGACATAGCACAGGGGTCCTGGCTAGGTGAGACAGACGCCCACCTGTGACTTCCAGGCCTTTCCAACTGCATGAGTCTGTCCCTCCAGTCTGAGCTCCTGTATTCTCTGTATCTGCGTCACCTCCTACCTCCTTGCAAGCCAGAAGGGTCCCCATTTTGGCAGATGAAGACCCTGAAGCTCAGAGAGGTTAGGGTAACAGGCCCAGGTTTCACAGCCACTTAAACCAAGCCCCTTCTGTTCATGCTGCACTTTAAGACTAATGGACTGATTGATGGTGAATCTTCTAGAAACCTGTCCTCATTTGATAGTGTGACCTGATGATGTCCCAGATAGCTTCTGTTCTTGGTGTCGCGCTTTGTTGAACAAGAACACCACCCCCGCATCTTTCCCAGGCCCAGATAGGCAGTCAAGCTACCAGTGTGCCGGTCCTCCGCTGGGAGTCTCTTCCCCACAGCCCGCGGTGGCAGTCTGACTCCACCTCATTCCAGTCTTAGGAGCCCCACACACAGCTTAGAGTGAGGAGGAAATGCTCCTTAAAGGCCTCGGGGGCCAGCCCCGGTCTCCGGGTTCACCAAGCACTCATATCTGGCATTCCCCTTCGGCAGGGGGAGCCTGCCTGAAGGGTGTGACAGAGTGACACGTGCACCTAGCCTGGATGTGCGACACGGTTCTGCCCTTTCCTGTCTGCATGTCTTCAGACAACTTGTTCAACCTCTCTGCACCTCAGTTTCCCAACTCTACAAGGGGAAGAAGGTTCATTTCCCATGCCTCTCCCCCGGGCTCACTTGGGTAGTCACGAAGAAAAGGCATCAGAGGTATAAATCATTCACACTTTCTGGAAGCCCAAGCCAGTTCCCAAAGCCAACAGGAGACCAATCTAGATTTTACCATCTTCCCAGTGCCGTCCTTTGTGCTGGATCTGGTCCAAGATACCACACTGCATTTAAGATATGATCTGTTTTTATAGCCCGAATCCACTTCTGCGTGACTTCCCTGTTCATCCTGGTGCAGCTCCCTCCCCCTGGACTAGCTGTTCTTTCTCCCCTGTAGGTGTCTGTCATTACCGTGCAAGCAGCTCCAACCACCAACACAGTGGGGCCTCAGACTCCTGGTCAACCTCCAGCTGTGTCCCTGGCTCACCTCCCTCCTGGGATCCCAAGAATGACCCCTACCCCTGTGTGCCCTTTGCCTCTTAGTTCCTGTAGAGCTGAACTATTCTGCATCCACTGTCCTGACGCATTTTGCCACTAAGTCTGATACATCTCTGTCCTCCAGTACAGTAGCTTCTAAGGCTTTCTGATCCGTGAGTGTGACGAGGTATATCCTAAAGCTTTGTGAAGCCCCTGCCCAAGACCATCACAGAGTGGGTGCCCAAGATGGACCAGTGCTCTTCTCCCTGCAGCTCACTGTCCCTTCTCTCTGAGCCTGCCTGGCCTGGGGCCACCCCCATAGATGAACCACTATCTCCTGGGTCACTCCTGGCACCCCCGTGAGCAGGAAGGACAGGCCACCCTCTGCCCGATTTACAGGGAAAGTAGTTGAGACTCATTAATTTTAACTGACTTAGCCTTATCAGCTGTAACTCCTAATCTAGTCCTTTTGCACCCCTGAGCCCAAATCCTGTGAATGTATGTGCTCTACCCTCCAGAAATACCATGCAGCATTTTCATAAGGGGACTCAATAAAGAAGTTCAAGGATGGAGTTAGGAGTACAAACCTTCCTAATTGGTTATTGCTAGAAATAGACAGGAATATCTCTGCAACCTAACCTTTCCCATGAGATTGGAACTTGCCCTAAATGCTAAGAGTCCTGTAACAGTACCTTGAATTCGTGTGCACTGACCTGACACCACTCTGACACTGTTCCCCTTCTGCTTGTTATAAGCGGTGCTGCCTGAGTGGTAAACACATCGCTTTCACCTGCGTTTGAAATCGTGTCTTTAGAGAAGTTCTGCTAGCCTGAGATTGTTGCCAATTTCTTGTTCCTTACTGGGTTCTTTTTCTCTCTTGGGACAGTGGAACCATTAGCAAGCTCCGAATGATCAGTGGAGACTTTTATTACTGGCCAGGAGTAGGAGAAGTAAAGTGGGAGATCAACTTGCACATCAACTTCTCAGCCCAGTGGGGGTTAGGGGGTGATAGACATAGGGTGACAGGCATGAGAGTAGGAATCGATTCAGAAAGGGGAGGAACTGTCATGTCTGCGCCTAGGCTTTGGTTCCCACCTCTCTGCACTTTCACGGTTCTTTCTAGTTGTTGTCATGGCAATTTGCCGACTGTCCTGGTGCTGGCGGGGACAGGGGTGTCACTCAGCATGCAGGTGGGATTACAGTGGCACCGTGGTGCATGAATTTAATGCTCGCTTGCGATTCTGGTCGCAAACCAAATTGGATGAGAATCGAATCAAATTCCCCCCCAAGGTCGGCGTTGAACCTAACCATGGATTGGGACAGTCTGATGAAGCACAGGTCCCTCAGGCAGCCAGCCCACCTGAGAGGGACTCCGGGCTGCAGGCATCGTGTCCTCAGAGTTGAGCGGGACTAAGGTGGGGTAGAGACTCAGCTAGGTCAGGCAGGTGGTACAAGTCTGGAGCAGGTGGCAAGACGGCCAGGTCAGAGTGTGAAATCCAGCTCTTAACACTCACTAACAACTCCATCGATGGAACCTTCTCCCAAGGTTGGCGGCCTCCCAGGATTGGCCGCTGCTGGTCTGGTTTCCACCTTCTGCACCTTAAGGGAAGTGCCAGATGACATAGCAGTGAGCTTCTACGGTGGCGTGTGGGACAGTGGCCCTGCCAGGCACCTCACCTTGCTGTATGGGCCAGCAACCAAACCTGGCTCTTAGAGACAGCAGGTCAAGAGCACCATGTAGGACTGGTATGTGGGACTGTCCCCTACCCAGAGTTTGTTTAAAATATTTGGGGCCAGAGTTTTAAAGTTAATGTACATCATATTCCTCCTTTCCTTTTAAAAAATTTTTTTTCTTTGACATGGTGTCACTAAGTTGCCCAGACTGTTCTCAAAATCAGGATCCTACTGCCCCAGAGTCCCAGGTGCTGCGGTTACAGGCTTGCACCACTGTACGGACTCAAACATAACATTTCCTAGCCTGGCTTTTCTCACACTCAGTCCTCTCTGATTATTGAGCCAGCTTCCCTGCCCCATGCCCTAGTCTATTTAGAAATTCCAGAGCAATCCAGCCTCATAGAGTTTCTCCCCCTGCCTCATTTTTTAATTTTAATTTTTTATTGATTTATTTATTTGGTGCCAGGGATCGAACTCAGGTCCTTGTGCTTGTGAGGCAGGCAGTGACCCCACTGAGCTAAATCCCCGGCCCTTGTCTCGTTTTTTTCTTTTTTAAGCTCAGGTACAACTCAGGTAGAGTAGAACCCACCCTTTTCAGCGTACAGTGAACACATGCTCTTTGGTGCAATCGCAGGCAAAACCTGGGAGCATCTGCACGCGTCCGTCCACAGCAGCACCCTCACAATAGCCAGGAAGGGCAGGCAGCCCACCGACCATTGGTGCGCAGGTGGCCCACCCACATGATGAGGATTAGCCACAGAAAGCAAGGAAATTCCGGCACAAGCCAGTGCAGAGCCAACAAACCTTGAGGTTTCTGTGCTGTGTGAAATAAGCCAGCCACAAAAGGACAAACACTAACAGATTCCATGGAGGTCCCTAGAGTCCCAGCAGTCACAGAACAAGACAGTAACGGGGGCCGGGGGCTGGGAGCAGGGAGATGGGGAACGATTTCAGTGTGGGAGGATGGAAGAGTCCTGGGGATGGATGGCGGTGAAGGCTGCACAACAGTGTGGATGCATTTAATGTACACTGAGAAATGGTTACAATGGTGCGTTTTATGGTAGGTGGTTTTTAACTGGAATTTTTAAAAATCTGGATAGAAAAGCGCATTGCTCCATGCATCCCCTGGTGCCTCTCGTGGCCAGTTGGGCTCCAGTCCTAGATAACCATGAGCTTTTTTTTGCCTCCACCACTTTGCTTATTCTAGAATGCCATGTAAGTGGAACCGTGCATGCTACTGCTGTTGGCTTCTGGCTTCTTTCTCTCAGCACCGTGACTGTGAGATCCTTCCATGTAATCTTGTCTATTGGAAGGTTGTTCTTTTACAGTGCTGAGTAGTATTCCATGGTGTGCGTGAACCACGGGTTGTTTATCCTTCCCCTGGTGGAGGGACATTGAGTCGGTTCCACTTGTGGGAACACCTTGGAGTGGACTGCTGGGTGACAGGGTAAGTGCAGACTCACCACTATAGGAGCAGGTGTTTGGCCTTCCAAGTGTAGACACCGTCTAACCTTCCCCCAGGGAGAGTTGCGGATTCTCAACATCCTAGGTAATGCGTGTCAGTGTCCATGTCTTGACCATTCTGATAGGGTTTTCTAAAGTGTAGATTTACGATAAGCTGCAAACCAAAAAATACAAAAAGTGGTCCCCTGTACCCTTAGCGGTTCCCCTCCGTGGAAGCATTTTGCATAATCATAGCACAATATCACAACTAAGAAACTGACACTCCTTTTACATCCGGAACAAACCTAGTGAGTCTCTCTAAAAGTTAGGGAGATCTGTCATCCTCAACGCCGACAGACACCCACAGCCTGCAGTGCTACTCACAGCCTGTTTGAGCCCCTCCTCCATGAAGAGGAACAAGGTAAACAGGGACCTGGGGACCCCCTGAGAAGTCACTGTTGGTCTTCTGCTGGCCTTTTCCAGAGCGCCTTCATCAACAGACCTGCCCTGGGCATCCTGCCTCCGGAGAACTTCGTGAACAAGCTCAGGGAGTCCTTGCTGTCGGTGAGTCCGGGAACGGTCCTGCCCTACTGCAGCCCCACTTCCGTCTTCCAACCCCACTGCCCTCACAGGTGGTCAGCCGGGGCAACAAAGGATCGCAGTTCATAACCATAAAGGAGTCGGTATTGCTCTTTGGACTTACTGTATATAGAGAGGATTCAACCCTCAGGTTGAACCCAGGGCCTTCACACCGAGCTACGTCCCCAGCCCTTTTATTTGAGACAGGATCTCACTAAATCACTGACTTGCCAAGCCTGGGATTGAACTTGCGGTCCTCCTGCCTCAGCCTCCCAGAGTGTTGGATTATAGGCGTGTGCTGCCACACCTGGCTGGGTTTATTGTTTCATGAAGAGTATTTTTAATTTTCCTCTTGTAGAAAAGAAGGGGATTTTGCATGCAGGACAAAGGGAATGGGGGAGAATTAATATTTGTTCCGTGTGAGGAACTCTGCAAGAATAACTCATTCCTCCCCTGATTTTTCAGCTTTAGCTGTAAGTGCGGGTATCTTAGTGACAGCTGCATCAGAAGGCATGAATGTGGCTTTCTGTGCCTTTTCTGCCAGCTTCCAGGCATTCCTGGGCTTCTTTTCCAGCCCTCCACGAGCCTAACCCCACCCTTCACATCTGCAGCTTCTGAGATTTCCGGTGTCCTCTCCCTCCCCTGACTATGGCTCCCAGATGGGGGAGGTGGGAGGACCCTGGGAGTACAACTTCCGGGAGGGAAAGTGGGGGTCAGGTGGGCCTGAGCTCACTCCTGGCTCCCTCACCGCAGGTGGCTCCCAAGGGGATGTCCCAGCTTGTCACCATGGCATGCGGCTCCTGCTCCAACGAAAACGCCTTCAAGACCATCTTCATGTGGTACCGGGTAAGGCTTGGCATACAGACAAACCCTGTCTGACAGCTCATCCCAACAGCCTGGAGCATTAGACTTAGTGTCCTGGGTCAAGTCCAGGGAGGGCTGGCTGTGGCTTTCCCAGCATCTGAAAGGATGGGACAGAGGGCCACGCAGGGATCTGACATCAAACTTACCCAGTGTACTTACTGTCACTCTCACCAGCATAAGAAGTACCAATGCAACAGAGCTTAGCTCTGTTGAAAGCACAGTGGATAGTTTCAAGGGGTGTCAGGATCAGCACATGAGATCACCTCTTGAGAAAGTGCCAGTGGTCCCCACTAAACCAAACAGATTTGGGTGGAAAGTTTACATCCCATCTACCCCCAGCGTCTCAGGTATTGTTCTGTTCTATTTTGCCAGAGCAAGGAAAGAGGGCAAAGAGGGTTCTCAAAAGAGGAGCTGGAGTCCTGCATGATTAACCAGGTAGGTGGAGCTGGGCCTCTTTCCTTGTTCATTTGGGGGAGTTGTGTGACTCGCTCCAGCTGACTGACCCTGTCTTTCTCAGTTAGGAAGGGTCCTCAAGCTTCTCCACTCCCTGCAGGCTGGGGCTGAGTGGAGCACTTCCTGTCCAGCCTTCAGAAATTTCCCAGAACAAAGGCCTGCATTTGACAGGTGTAAGGAGGGTATCAATGTGATCCACAGTAAGTCCCAATTTACAAATGAGTGCTTTGCCTGGAGAAAGTTCGTAAGTCTGACAAAGTGAGTCTTCTACCATCCACCTATGAAAGTTCCCAACTCAAATGTTCATGAGGCAGGGACTTACTGTATAGAACAACCAGAAATGTCAGCTAAATTGTATGCGTGAGCGTTCATCCCATCTGTGTTTATAGTAACCACATTTTTAAAAAGTGGAAACCACGGGCCGGGAATTTAGCTCAGTGGTTCTACCGCCTGCCTCACAAGCGCAAGGTCCTGAGTTCGATTGCCACTACCAAAAAAAAAAAAAAAAGGAAACCACCTGTATCCCCGTCCAGGAAAGGAGTGGGGAAAGAGGAATTAAATGTAGGGATTCCAAATGAAACCCTAGCAGTTGCCAGAAACACCAAGGAAGCCACTGTTGGGGCTCAGAGAGAGGGTAGGGGCTCCAGGAAGATGGAGTAGGTCGTTACCGGCTCCCACCAGCTCAGCCAAATCAGCCTTGTCCTCTTTGTGCATGGGATCCATGAAGGTTCAGCCGAAGTGTCTGCAGCCTTAAGGAAACAAGAAAGAAACACACAGAGAGACTATCGAGAGATACGGCACCTGCTTATCCACCGCTTACACACATAGTAATACTCCTCAGTGAAAATAGTTACAAAAGGCTTCTCCTGGCCTGGACATTCATTTGGTGAAAAGTGTAGAATGTAAATTATATGGATACTGTTCCCTCAACCATGTAAGTAAATATACAGGAAAATACTAGAAGAAATCCTGCTACCACATTCACAATGGCTAGGCCCTGAGTGGCGAAACTGGTTGTTTTGGTTTGGTTTTTCTTGTGCTTTCGTTCTTTTGGTGGTGGTGGGGTTGAGACAGGGTCTCACTATGTAGTTGAGACTGACCTGGAGCTCACTGTGTAGCCCAGGCTGGTCTCCAACTTGCAGCAATCCTCCTGCCTCAGCCTCCCGAGTGCTGGGATTACAGGCATGCGCCACCACGCCCAGCTCTCTGCATTACATTTATAATGAAGAAAGGAGGCATTTTCTAGCAATCCGCAGCCTGTCTGCCTCTCAGGAGTAGCGTAAGACAAGTGCCGTGCCCATGGGGATGGGGGAGCTGGCAGCAAACTCATTTCCTTCTGTGGGGAAGTCTGAAAGAAGTACGATATCCCAAAACTTACAGAAAAAATGAGTCCGTGCCACCAAGAAGTGGAGAGCTGCTGTGGGTTCTGCACTTCCTGAGCGACTGACCAGCTGCATCTTCCTGGGGCCAGCGCCAGGATCACTTCCCATCCTGGCAGTGAGGTCAGGTGTGGCCCACAGGAGGAGGAGCAGGAAAAGCCCAGCAGCCCAGTGCAAGCTGGAGGCCGCAGGGACTCCAGCCCCAGGAACTTTAAGCCAATTGGATTTTGCAAATGCTTTTAAGATAATGAAATGAAATTTTGGAAATCAGAGTGGATCCCTGGGCCAATCAGGTATAGAGTTTGCGCACTGGTCCGGAGTCCACCCTTTGTCTGGAAAGAGATGATCCCAGGAATTTTCCAACTTTTACCAGACATCCAGAGACAGATTTAGAAATTGAAGAAAGCCGGGAAGAGAATGGCTGAGGCTATGATGGCGGACAGGCTTGCCAGGGAGGCAGAGAGGGTGAAGACCTGAGAGAAAAGTTCTGAAAAACAGGAGCAGGAACTGCTGAAGAATCTGAGCTGGGAGGCCTCTGGAGAGACGTTCACCATGGAAGATTTTTTAGATTCCTGTGTGTCTTGTAATAGCACTCCTGCCTTCCCAATGATCTTGTATGACCCAAACTGTTCTTCTTTATTAAACTCTTTGTCAGAGAGAGAAGAAAGGAGAGAAAGAAGGAAGGAAGGAAGGAAGGAAGGAAGGAAGGAAGGAAGGAAGGAAGGAAGGAAGGGAGGGAGGGAGGGAGGGAGGAAGGAAAGAAAAGAAAAGAAAAGAAAAGAAAAGAAAAGAAAAGAAAGAAAAGAAAGGAAGGGGAAAAAAAAGAGCCAGGTGTGGTGGCGCACACCTGTAATCCCAGCACTCGGGAGGCTGAGGCAGGAGGATCACTGTGAGTTTGAGACCAGCCTGGGCTACACAGTGAGCTCCAGGTCAGTCTCAACTACATAGTGAGATCCTGTCTCAAAAAACCAAAGAAAGAAAGAAAGAAAAAGATAGAAAGAGGGAAAAAAAAGAAAAGAAGAAAGGATACAAGACATGGTAGGAGCGGGTAGGGGCTTCAGCTCAGTGGCAGAGCACCTGCCTAGCACGCACAAGGCCCCGGGTTCAATCCTCATTACTGCAAAGGGGGTGGGGGGCAAATATACAAGAGAGTATTGTGGAACTTGTGAGAGGAGGTCTTGAAGCTCTCCCCAGGGGTGTCAGGGATCTGCTGGAGATGACGCAGCCTGGAACTTGTCCTGTCACCTCCCAGAGCCTGGCCTGAGAAGGCCTCTGAGGCCCCCCCCCCGCAGTTCCTCCCGAGTGACCTGGACGCATGTTTGATTACCTTGCTGGGGGGGTCAGGAAGCGGTGCAAGGAGTGGCAGCTGCGCCGTCTGCTTGGGCTGGCAAGGGGTGAGGACCTGTGTGCTGCGCTCGTGCCCCTCCTGAACCAAGGGAGAAGGAAAGCTTGTCCTCCTCTCCCTGTGGCACAGCAACCCTCTTCCGAAGGCCTCAGCACTTTGTCAGGTGCCCAGCTGGGTCCCCTTCCTCAGGACACCTGGGAGGCAGGTGCACACCCACGGGGAAGGGACCACCTGCGCGCTGTGGATGCCGGAGCCCTGTACCCTAAGTGTGTGCGTTCTGGGAGAGGCTGCAGAGCAGGCGCTGAGCATGCAGGGGCCCAGCAGGAGGAGGGTCACCCTGCACGTGAACGCCAGGCCACCTGCTGCTGCCACCGGAGAGACATGGTCCACATGGGGTAGCACCTGTGAGAAGCCAGAAGCTGCCATATTTATACGCCATCCCTTGGTCTTAAATGTGGCAACTTTTAAATTTTAAGTGTGTGAACAAAACGTATCTGTGTGCTAGGTGTAGACGTTGGGAGTTCAGATTGTAACTTGTGCCCAAGAAGGACTCAGTTCTTCTCACAGACTTCTTCTGTCTTCTCCTAGGTTTACAAGGCGCCATACTGTCCCCAGTCCTCTCAGTGGTGACTGATGCTCATGTTTCTTGGTTCTAGGCCCCCGGGTGCCCTGACTACAGCATCCTCTCCTTTATGGGCGCTTTCCACGGGAGGACCTTGGGTAAGGAGGAATCGGCCCGTCCCAGGTGGCACTTGAGTAATCACAGCGACAACAGCCATGCCTGCTGTGGGCCTGGCACTGGTGTTCTACACATTTTTGTCCCAATGATGCCACACAATTCCCTGCAGATGGGGACTGTTGTCATCACTCTGCACATGTGGAAATTGAGGGTCAGCAGGGGGAAAACCTTTCCAAGGCCTTTCAGTGATAGAGCCAGGACTCAGACCCTCCGCTCTCATCTTCAGAACCTGTGCGTGACCTGTGATAAGTCACAAAGCATACACTATACAAAGTATACAAACACACACACGCACACGCACAACAGCTCACGGGCTCTGCTTCAGCCTCGGGACGGTGCACGAGCTGGAATCTGCAGGCAGCAGGCCTCCCTTCCTGTGCATCGCCCGCCCGTGGCTGAAATGCCCATCCTGTCCTCTTCAAAGCCCACCCGTGCCAGCGCCCCATGCCAAGAGTCTGCTTTTCTCTCTCGCTGGACTCAGGTTGCCTAGCGACCACGCACTCCAAAGCAATTCACAAGATCGACATCCCGTCCTTCGACTGGCCCATTGCTCCGTTCCCGCAGCTGAAGTACCCTCTGGAGGAGTTTGAGAAGGACAACCAGCAGGAGGAGGCCCGCTGCCTAGAGGAGGTAACTGGCCTCCCCGCCTCCGTTCCTGCTCCTGCCCTCGCCAGCCCGAGCCTGAGCGCAGAGGAGGACGGCCGGAGAGGCGCCCCCTGGCGGCAGGACAGGGAGGCCTTGTGCCTCAAGTGCTCCGTGCTGGAGAAGCTAGGGACATATGGTTTCCCCACTCTGTATTCGTCCTCCACTCCTGCCACCAAGTTCTCTGTGGGGCCGAGCTCCGGTGACCCCACAGTGAAGGGAAATAGACTTCCTGAAACAGTGTGCGTCATGAAACACGGTAACTCACACCTGTAATCCCAGCTCTCTGGGAAACTGAAGCTGGGCAGTCACAAGCTCAGGCCCAGCCTGGACAACTTGTCGACTTAGCAAGACCCTCTCTCAAAATAAAAAAAAAATTAGGTTTTTTTTTTTTGTTTGTTTGTTTGTTTGAGACGGGGTCTCACTATGTAGTTGAGCCTGACCTGGAACTCACTATGTAGTCCAGGCTGGTTTCGAACTCACAGCGATCCTCCTGCCTCAGCCTCTTGAGTGCTGGGATTACAGGCATGTGCCACCACGCCCGGCCCAATAAAGGCTTTTGAGTTAGATGCAACTGGTTCAAATCCTTGGTAACCACCTCCCCCAGCCTGAATAAAAAAACTTCAAAAGGCTGTTGGGCCAGGGATTTAGCTCAGTGGTACCACACCTGCCTCACAAGGTGATGAGTTTGACACCCAGCACCAAAAACAAACAAGGGCTGTAGATTTAGTGAAGACCCTGGGTTCAATCCACAGTACTGCCAAAAAAAAAAAAAATGTACAATTAATTTAACAGCATTTTACTGAACCTACTACATCCAAACTATTATGTCCACATGTAACTAATATTTTGATACTATTAATGACATGTTATATTTTCATATGAAGCATACTGTGTATAGTTTTCATTAGAGCACAGTTTGGACCAACTACGTGCCAAGGGCTCCTCTGCCCCCTGTGGTTCTTGACTCCCACTGCAGAGACTGCCGGGCCGTAACAAAGATGCACAGAAATAACCACATAGTGACAAACTGGAGGTGATTTGTAAGTGGAACAGCAAAGCGAGGAAAAGCACCCCAGAGCTTCCCGGAGTAACTGGTGCAGAGGGAGATGTCAGGAGGTCCCTGCTAACCTCCTGCTGCCTCCCTCTCAGGGGGACACAGCCCCAGCCACACATGGGCTCCTAAAGCGGGCCACGCTAACCACAGAAGTGCCACAAACACGCAGTTTCAACTGACTTCAGAGGAGGGCTTGGGGCCCCAGATCCCCACCCACAGTCTCTACCCGGGAGCCTCTGTGAGCCGTTGTCATGTCCCCTTTGGGGTCCAGGTGGAGGATCTGATTGTCAAATACCGGAAGAAGAAGAAGACTGTGGCCGGGATCACCGTGGAGCCCATCCAGTCCGAGGGTGGGGACAACCACGCATCAGATGACTTCTTCCGGAAGCTGAGAGACATCGCCAGGAAGGTTAGAGGATGGGGCAAGGCTGGAGTGGGCCATAGGTCTTTCTGGATTGGTTTCCCAGAACAGAATGTTAGCCCCACTTCTGCTGTGGGGTCCGTGCAAACATCTAGATGTACAGAGGATCTTGGCACCACAGGGAGAGAAGCTGGACATCTGTGACTCACTTTCAAACACTTATTGCAGCTGGGTGTGATGGTGCACACCTTTAATCCCAGCATTCTGGGAGGCTGAGGCAGGAAGGTTGTGAGTCCCAACCCAATTTAGGCAACTCAGTGACTTAGTAACTCTGCCTCAAAATAAGCAAACAAGCAAAAGAGCTGGGGATATAGCTCAGTGCATAGGCCCTGATTTAATCTCCAGTAACTCAAACAAAACGAAACTTCTTGCAAATCAGCTTCCAATCTGCCTATTTTACTTTGAAACTTTCTCAATTAAGAGGTTCCTAGGAAGGCCTCAGCCCCCTCCCCTTTATTTTATTTATTGGGAGGTTTTTTGTTTTGTTTTGTTTTTTTGAGACAGGGTCTCACTATGTAATTGAGACTGACCTGGAACTCACTATGTAGCCCAGGCCGGTCTTGAACTCACAGCGATCCTCCTGCCTCAGCCTCCAGAGAGCTGGGATCACAGGCATGCGCCACCACACCCAGCTGGGCTGGGCATATGTTTAATCAGCTCAGTAAACAAGTTCACAAATAGAGGCTGCCAGACATGAGTTACTGATAGCCCAGTGAGACGCGGAACAGGGCGGAACAGGGCAGATGAAGTGAAGGCAGTGAAATATCCCCTTCACTTTTATACTCATTTCCTCCTCATGAGGTTGAGCCTGGGGCTGGAGCCCAGGGAGGCCAAGCTGTGCTTTGCTGCTGAGAGTGCTGGGTGTTGTGGTTCTCTTCCATCTGCTCAGCAGTTTTAGGGTACATTCGGATGCAGCTCTGGTGGGAGGTGCTTTACTTTAAGTGTCTGGTGTTTAGCAGAGCCCAAGAACACCGTTTTGATTGGCAGGTTAGGTGACAGGGAGGATGAGGCCAGCTTGGAGTGGGGTATTGGGGGCAGTGGGGTCGCTGGCCTCTGATAGGTGTTTATCTCTCTCCCTCTTCACTTCCTTCTCTGCTGGTCAGCATGGCTGTGCCTTCCTGGTAGATGAAGTCCAGACCGGAGGGGGCTGCACCGGCAAGTTCTGGGCCCACGAGCACTGGGGCTTGGACGACCCAGCAGACCTGATGAGCTTCAGCAAGAAGATGATGGTTGGGGGCTTCTTCCACAAGGAGGAGTTCCGGCCCAATGCTGTGAGTGAGACCGCAGACCCGCAGACCCGGAGTGTCCCTTCCTCCCTCCCCACCCTCCAGCCAGAGGAACCGCAGGCACCTGACCCGACGCCGCCCAGTCCTTACCAATGTTTTGTTGTTGTTGTGGATTTTTTGCTTTTTGGTACCGGGGATCGAACTCGAGACCTTGTACTTGCAAGGTAGGCTGCAGCACCACTCAGCTAAATCCCTGGCCCAGTCCTTACCGATTTCATTAGTGCTTGTGACCACGGCTCTCATCTTCACAGCTACCCACAGTCAATCTTCTCGGGAGTTCTTTCTCTGAGTATAACAATGTTAACACTTGCTCCTGCCAACCAAACATTTGCTCTGTACCTACACACTCCTCGTGATCTTTTAACCTTCACAGCAATCTAACCCATAGCTGTTATTTATATCCCCTGTGTTACTAATGGGGAAGTCAGGCACAGAGTAGCTGAGTAAGTTGTCCAAGGCCACACAGCCTGGAACTGACCAAGCCAAGATTCAAACCAAGAGCTCTTGTTCTTAACCACTGCACTGTGCTGCTTGTGTACATAAAGATCCTCATTTGTAACACACACACATACACACAGGGCCCAGAACGCTTACTTCCATCATCTCTACATGTACAAGGAGTGATTGACATATATGATGACGGTTTGAATGTTTAAAAATGTATTACAGGAAGGGCTGGGGGTTTAGCTCAGTGGTTCCACCACATGCTTCACAAGTGCAAGGTCCCAAGTTCGATCCCCGGTACCAAACAACAACAACAAAAAATTATTACAGCAAAAGGCACACACTGCTATTCATCCCCCTCAAAACACCCGCTCCCTTTGATCACATTTTTCCCATCATCCTCGCCATTTCGGAAGCAGCTCTTCAAGTGCTCTTCTGTGAGCGTCTTCAGGCGTGGTGTTGTGGTCGTCTCCATGTCCTGAGTCACTCCAAAGCATTCGCCTTCCGTGATCGTTTTGACTTTGGGAAGAGCCGGAAGTTGCAAGGTGCCTGATCCAGTCAGTAAGGTGGATGAGCACACACTGTAATGTTTTCATTCCCTGCTGGATGTGCCTGACAGCAGCATTCACTGCATTTTTTTTTTTATTACACTTTGTGAAGACACAAAAGAAGACTTTCCAAAATGGCTTCGGAAAGCAGCAATAACAGTGGCATTACTGTGTTGGAAGTGGGGGGAGTATTTTGAAGGGGGAAAATGGCAATGTGTCTTTCACTATAACGCATTTTTTAAAATCTAAACATTAAACATAAGTATCAACTGCCCCCTGTAGTTTCTACCTTCAGGGTTGCCTCATGGCTCAGAATGGCTACCCAGCCATTACGACTCCATTCCAGGCAGCAGGAAGGAACAAGATGGGAAAACATTCCTGCAAATGTTCTTCTCTAGCATATGATTAACTCCTAGTCACGTGGTCAGTTCTCTTTATCACCACGAGTAACTCGTGGATGGGTGCATAATTCATTTGAGGGTTGAACTGCCAGCAGTCCAGGCCGAAATCCATCACCTATGAGCCACGTTTGCCGTGGGCAGTGCTTTCTCCTTTCCAAGCCTCAGCTTCCTGCTCTACTCGCTGAGGACTATCAGACAGCTCTGTGCAGCAGGGTGAGGCTGCAGCCAATCATGGGCCATACACGTCGCAGTCATTCCACGGGATTACATCGCCTGCTGACATCTTAACCATCTCAGTCTGTGTGCGCTCACTCTGATGTCTGCAGGGTGGCGGATCACCCAGCAATGTGTTCCTCAGATCACAGCTTTGTCATTAGGCCATGCATGACTGTAGTTCAGAGACCAATGGCCATGATCTCTCGGGACCCCAAGGGATCTGGTTTCCCACAGCAGCACTTACTTACTGGGTTGTCTTGGGAGGAATCAGTGAGATAATGTATGCTGTACTCCTAACCCTCGTTGGATGATCCCTCATTGGATATCTGATTTCCAAGAGAGGGGAGGGGGCGGCGCTTCGGGGTGAGTGATATGTGCGCCACCCTACTGTTCCAGCCTTATCGGATCTTCAACACCTGGCTGGGGGACCCATCCAAGAACTTACTGCTGGCTGAGGTCATCAACATTATCAAACGTGAGGACCTGATGAACAACGCAGCCCATGCAGGGAAGGTCCTGCTCACAGGACTGCTGGACCTCCAGGTACCTTCCTCCTGCCTCTCACTCTGGCCCTAAGAACGCCCCGCAGCCCCTCAGGGTTCCCCTGTGGCAGTGGCCACATGTTTCAGCATGGCCTTGCACCTGCTGTCCCGGCAGTTCTGAACAGACTGTGCAGCCCCTTGGGTTCCAGACATGGGCCGTACCCTGTGCAGGTAATGCCTCCCCACCCCACCCTCCAGCTCACGCAGCCCCGTTCCCCACACCTGGCTATCTTTTGTTAATTTTCAGTTGTTATCAGTACATGTTTGCAGTATGTATCACATTTGTCATGAGTTGGCACATGTACAGAATGCACCTTATTTTTCCTCTCCGCCCCCCATCTCTTGGTTCCCTTCCCAAAAAAGATCGAATCCGCTGTTTCCTATTATCTATCTTTCATTTGGCTCCTTCGTTTATTTATGCTTTGGGTTTCTCCTATAAGAGAAACCATGTGATAGTTAATTTGTCTTTGACGCTTCATTCGGACATGAACATCCCTCCTTGGAGAAACCTCCCAGAGACTCCTAGGGCACTTCCCCAAGCCCTGTGCTCAGTTTCCTCCTCTGTGCTGCCTTCTCCAGCCCACTCTGCAGCTGTCCTGACCAGTGGGGTCTCCTGAAGGCCACAGATGTAATTCTAAATGTTCTAGCAACCAGACAAAAAAGCCAATTAAAAGATCAAATTAGTTTTAATAATATATTTTACTTAACCCATTTGGTCCAAAACATTATCATTTTAACAGGCATTAATGTAGCGAATAAGTGATATGATATTTGTATTTTTTTATACCCAACCTGTGAAATTCAGTATATCAGCCACTTTCCTCTCTGTGAGACACAAGACCCAACAGCCACAACTTATAGAAAGAGAAGTTTAAGGGCCTGGGATTTAGCTCAGTGGTTCCACCTCCTGCTTCGCAAGCACCGAGTTCGACCCCCAGTACCAAAAAGAAAAGGAAGAGAAGTTTAACTTGGTTCCCAGTTCACGAGGATTCAGTCCGTGGTCCCTGGCTCCAAGCCAGAAACATCATGGTGGAGGGAGTGGGGGAGCAGAGCTGCTCACCTCATGGCAGCCAGGAAGCAGAGAGAGAGAAAGCAGGGAGGCACCAGGGAGGGAGATGCACCCTGCAGAGGCCCACCCTGCCAGTGACCCAGCTCTGCCAAGCAGAGTCCCCACCTCTGGTGAGTATGGTGTGTGCGCCCATGATGCACTCAGCTTCCAAAAGCCCCACCACTGAGCATATGAGACTTGGGGGACAGGTATTTTACACCCACAGCACTTCTCAATTGTGACTCATCACATTCCGGCAGCCACATGTGGCCACCCCAGTGGGCGAGGCAGGTCTGCATTAGAGCTTTTGGTCCAACACACAGACACTGCTCTCCTAAGCTGGGGGAGCAGTGCTGTGCTGGGGGGACGGGAATTGCTAGGACAGGCAGCAGAGCCCAGGAGTTTTGGGGGGAAAGATGACTTTTGCTGGGTGACTGGTCTTATAGTACCTGCACCCTAGGATTCTGAAACATCCTGTCAACATGGACTTGAGCACAACCCCACTGAGGGGCGATGACAATGGGGACACAGAGGTAATCGTGGAGGTCATGAGGGCAGTGGTAAGACTGGCGACCAGGGTGTTGATAAGGAAGGGAGGACAGATGTCAATGGTGACGGCTTTCATTTGCTGAGAGACAAGTCCTATCCAGGGACCTGCATAACTCGTTCATTTAAGTCCAGCAGTAAGGCTGCATGTCCAGCCCCTACTGTTACCCTCATTTTGCAGTAAGGACACAGGCACGGAGCACGTCCAAAATTAGCCAGCTTCTGCACCATGCTGCATGAGCTTGAACCTGAATCTGGCAGACTCCACAGTCTGTTTTCCTTGCCAGTGTTTCTCTCTGACATGATCTAGGATCTACGGATGATAGCAATCCTGCTAATATGCCAGATATCAGAGTAAATGCTTTATCTCTTTTCATCCTTGTAGAGTTGCCAAAGTTATGGAGAAGAGGCAAGATCCACAGTTACATTTAAATTTCAGAAGTCCCAGGTCCAGGGCTTGGTCCCCACACACAGGGCAGGGTCAGGGGCTTCACTAAATCACCAATAGGGCTGCCAGGTTTAGCAAATTAATATACCGAATGCCCAATTAAGTTTGAGAAACAGCAACTGATATTTTACATGTTAAGTGTATGCCATGCAACATTTAATACGTACATATACCTTTTAAAAGTATTTGTTGTTTACCTGGAATCCAAATTTAACTAGGCATCCTGTATTTTTACCTGGCAACCCTAAATCAGAAAGTCTGAAATTAGGAAAGTAACTTGGGTGTGATAGTTCATACTTGTAATCCCAACACTCTGGGAGGCTGAGGCAGGATGACTGCAAATTCGAGCCTAGCCAAGGCAACTTAGTGACTTGGGCCCTATAACAAACTTTTAAAAGGCTGAGGATACAGCTCAATGTAAAGACCCTAGGTGCAATCCCTAATTACAAAAAAAAAAAAAATTAGGAAAGTATGATGATCTTTACTTTCTGGATTAAAAAAAAAAAATGCCAGGTGTGGTGGTGCACGCTGTAATCCCAGCACTCAGGAGGCTGAGGCAGGAGGATCACTGTGAGTTCAAGACTAGCGCGGGG